CAGAAGCGTGAGGAAGTGTCTTTTAGTTGGAGCCGCCCAAGCAGTGTCTTCAAGAAGCTCTTGGATCAGCATTTTTCTGCCATTCCCCACACACACACACAGAAATGGCTTTTGGTGACTCAGTCACCGGGGTGAAGAGTAAGACCTAGGTTGAAAGGCAGGAGGCACTTCATTTAAATACGAAAACAGGGGGTGTGTTTTTTTTTTACACAAAGGGTAGTGGGAGTCGGGAACTGGCTGGCTGAGATCCCTTGATCAGTCGGCTACCAAAAGAGGTGAAGGGGTTCGATGGGCCGTTCAGCTGCCCTCGTGCTCACCCTGCCCTTCACTCTGGGGGGACTCGGGCTCCCCGCAGCGGCCTTCCTCCTGTCACCCCCCATCCAGCCCAGCCCGGCGGGGTCACCCCCTCCAGCCCAGCAGGCTCACCCCCTCCAGCCCAGCCCAGCCCGGCGGGCTCACCCCCTCCAGCCCAGCCCAGCCCAGCCCAGCCTGGCGGGCTCACCCCCTCCAGCCCGGCGGGCTCACCCCCTCCAGCCCAGCCCAGCCCAGCGGGGATCTGGCCGTAGGGGCCTGGCATGGTCAGTTAGAGAGGTGTCCTGTACAGACCAGCTGCTGCACAGCTGAACAATGAGCATCTCTCAGTTTGCAGTCTCCCGTCGTGTTTTGAAGGGTAGCAAGAGGATCATCATTCTTATTATCGATCCTGAAAGAACTCTAGATCACAGGCCCTCAGCTGCGCACCTGGGTCCCGGCATCTCACCGCAGCGGTAAGAGCCTCCTGCCAGCCCGAGCTGAGCTGGTGAACTGGCCGAGATGCACAGCACAATCAGAGGCCCGATCCGAAATCCTCTGCTGGCCCCTGTCTTCCCAGGTCGGATTTCTTTTTCTTTTTCGCTTATCAATACAGATTTTTTTAAACAGCAGAATTGACACACCTGTGTGGTCGAATGACCTGCAGAAAGGAAGAAGGAGGTCGGAGCTATTTCGTATTTTATATTTATTTAATGGTGATGGGTTTCCCTTATTGCCCTTCATTCAATGCCCAGGATGTCTGGGACACATTGAAGAAAAGAAAAAGACAGGATTCCCAAGGCCCTCACCTGCTGGGACAGTCGACTCTTCCCTCCCGCTCTCTTTATTTTTTGCTGTCGCCTCTTCCTGCCCCTGAGGAAGATGTGGTGGTTTCTGTTTCAAGCAGGTCCTCAGAAACTGGGTATGGGTTTGCTTCCACTGGGTAGTGCAGTCATAAGTCATTGTGGGTCCTGCTTTGGAAAAACCTTCCCGTTCAGTTGTTTCACTGCCTGCGTTTTGTAAAGAAGGGTCTTTCTCACCTTGTTTTAGTGGGGGGGGAAAAATGGTTTGGCAGTGCCCAGAGCAGACGGGTCTTACTTCAGTTAAATGCCGAGCCCCTGCTTTTGGAGCTCTTGTGAAGAGACATTTGAAGTCCAGCCCCCGAGGAGTTCTAAAGTTGTCTCCCCAACTGTTAATTATGGAGTTTCATGCCAGCACCACGTGTGTTTGATGTGTGACTGTGGTTTTAAGTGTAGTAGCTTGCAAGCACTTCCAGTCTTTAACCTCTGCTTCTTGATTATTTTTAGTCGCTTTTGTTCTTCAAGTGGTTCCTTATCTGCTCTGAAAAGCAGCCCTGTGCTCTTGTGTCCCCCTGCCTGGGACTCTCCTGTTCACAGGCTGTGGCACATTGACAGTGCGAGGCACTCTTTTTTAGAAACCGCCTTCCTTTTTAGCTGCTTACGGCTGTGGCCTAGCTGCTGGAGGCTGAGCTTCACTGGCAGGGCTGGGTGTGAAAGCTGGACCGTGCCGATGAGCGTGCTCAACAGCCTCTTTCACCAGACCTTCCCGTCAGAGCGACTCGGACTTTTCACATGTCCCTTGTGCGTGTCCCATGTTGGGATCCGGGCTGCTAAAGGCATGAGGGGCTCCCTGTTCCTGTTTCTGCAGGAAACCACAGGTTGCATGTGGGAAATGAGTTCTGCTTTTTAAACGTTTCTATAATTAGACCAGTACTTACCAGGCTTGGTTGATGGCCACAGTTCTTGGTTGTTGCACGCTATAAAACTAGCTGCATAACATCATTAATTTGTCTTCCATTTTGAATTATTTATAAAGGAAAGCTGATTGCTGGTTATAGCGCACTGTCTGCTTCTGTACCGTATGTGCTGTGTGAGCTAGTCCACTCCACGCTCTATGGCAGACGGGCTGTAAACGTGTCAGCTGGTCGGTCATGGCACTGGTGTCAGGCTGCCCCCTCTCGGTCGGGCCAGTGGGCTGCAGTGGGGGACTGCAGTTCGCGCAGGCAGCGGCAGTCGAAAGGAGTTAAGAACAAAAGTCTGGGAGGGGTGACAAGAGGCAAGTTCAATCAGTGATTTGTATTTATTCCTGCCATTTCCTCACCTAAGACGTTATGAATACAAACGCGTTCGGCCAAGTTTGCTGTGACTAGGACACAGTTCCCCGGTTAGCCAGCCAGCCAGTGAGAGTCTGCAGGAATCGGTGGTGAGAGGGGAAATGGGCTGGTCTTATTTAGCAAAAAGCCACCCACACTCTGCCTCTGCAGTGCCCCCCTTGACAATGGCTCGTTTTCAAATTGTAGTATGAAGGGTGGGTGTGTGTGTGTGCGTGCGTGTGTGTGCGCGCTGATGGACAAAAAACCATCCCAGACCATAGTAGCGCCTCATGCCCGACTAGGGGGGAGAGGGACCGAGCCCTGTGGTGGTGACCCCGGGCGGTGCACGATTTCCCAGGTGGGGGCACGCAGCCTGCGCCTGTGCTGCTTCCTGATTTATACTCGGTGCTGTCAGGGGAGGCTGGTGCTTATTGATGACAGCTTTGCAGATCCGTTTTGCAGCCATTTGTCTCGTCCTGGACCCGGGGATCAGGACAGAATTGCTTACTTCAACATCTCTCCTGTCTCCCGGCTGGCCCCTGCCCCCCGTTAATGAAATCGGAGAGCCGGAGTCCTTCCGCATCGGATAAAGCCTCATAAATACATCCCCTGGGGAGTGAGCGGAGTGTTGGAGCACTGGAGCAGCAGCCAGCGTCCCTGAGCTCAGCAGTGTCGTGGTCAGGGTCGGTGAGCCCTCTCGTGCAGCGCTGAGGGCGTCCGCGCAGCCGTTCTGCGTCTTCGGAAAGCAGACGGGGGGTGGTGATGGTTCCCAGAGGCTCTGCTTGCTGCTATAAGTGAGGTCCTAACTGGCAGCCCAGCTGTGTTCTTCCTGCGTTTTGTACTCTTCAGTGATTCACTCTTTTCTGAACAGCTCCCTGCCTCTCTCGGTCCCCCCTAGCCAGTAGGAATGCCTGTAAAAACAGAGCCCTGTTCCTTCGTTCATACCGTACATTGATGAAGCTTTTCCCCAGGAGTTGGACGTTCTCCCTCTCCAGCCCTGTCTGTATCAGAAGGTCCTGCAGGGAAAAAAGCGCTAACTGTGGTGTTAACGTCAGTGCAACGCGAAGGCGTTGGCTGTGAATGGAGAAGATCGAGACCTGTCTTCGGGCTGGCCTCCTGGGGAGCACCGTGTCTAGCAGCAGAGCGCGGGTTTCTTCTCAAAGAGACAAACGGGCGACCGCAGGAAGCACAACTCTCCCAGCGCAGTGTCGGCTTCCCCAGCTCTTCCAGCTGTGTTCACGTTCCTGCAGGCCCCCAGTCGAAACCTTAGGTCCAGTGTGAGATATTATTAATAATAACAACAGCTGAGTAATAATAATCATGATGTTGATGATCTTAATAAACAATCAGTGCACTTATGCATTGCTTTTCTATCCAAACTGCTCCCACTATTTATTTCCTCCCTGGAGTTTTCCCTCCTGTGTGAGGTTCTCCTCGGTGTCATGGCGGGCTGTTCGTCACTTGCTCTCACGCGAGCCAAGTCCCCCCTTGCACAACCCGCCTATTTGTGTGGACCCCGGCCCCCCTTGTCCAGCCCAGAAGGGGCGAGCTCAGCGAGCTCTGACGAAGGTCTCCTGGGCTCTCGAGCCTGCGTGCGAGCTTGCGAAAGGCTGAAGGCACTTTCCCGATGTCACTCTTCGCGCTCTCAGAGGTATTGCCAGTGACGGGGGTTGTGTAAGACTGAAGCCACCCAACAAGTTCTTCTTTCCAATTTTGTAGTGTGTCAAGGCCACTTGTTATCTCTAGTTGATGGATTTTGAACATTCCTCCCTGCAGCACAGTTTGAACATGTTGGTTCTTGAACTCGGAGGATAATAAGGTGGAATTTAGACAGCCTTTGCGCAAGAGAATGTTGTATCTAGCATATAGATGTTGAGGTAAATTATTATTTGATTAAAAATGAGCTGTGCTATCTGGTGTTTGCAGCTATCGAATCTCCCTTTCTAAAGTCCGTTTTCCCCTTGTTTCCTAAGGAAATGCCTTTCGATTAAGTCTTGGATTCGGTCACTGTTTGTGTTGGAATTGTGCATAAAGCTCTGAAATAAATGCCATTTAAAATAGAAATAAAATCGCCTCCTCTATCAAACTCATTTAAAGTAGGTGGGCCTTTTGTTTTAATTAAAGCAATCTACTTGTCTTTTGTTTTTTACATTGTCAGTGAGTTCCAGTTTTTCAGCCTCAGTGCGTCTTCTGTGTCAGCTTCCCTCTGTGAGTCTGCAGGGATGTGGAGCACTGAGCTGTCTGGGTGCAGCATGGGTTTTTGCTGATGAAATAATTGGGCAATTCTGTTGAGCAGGCGGTAGGCTGTGGCTGTTCTACAGCTGGCAACTCGCAATGTCATGGTGTGTGTCTGCTGTTCAGAAACCAAGAAGCAGGGACGGCTTTATTAGAACACTCCCATGCCAC